CTGACGATGCCGACTAGGATGCCGGCGAAACGTCTGGGAATGTACCACGTCCACGGTCCTACTCTGGAAAGGATGATGCAAATAATGGACTCCGGACTAGGTGCGTTCCTTTAAGCCTTCCTACCAATATGACCAAGTTGCGAAAGCAAGGTCAAACAACTTCTATACAACCAAAGGGGACTTTGACCACACAAAAGGCCACACCATCTTGGTCTTTATACCTTCGAGTTCGTTTAAACTGTTTTCCGTATCTCCCCTCCCTTTGACCTGCAACATTAGCCTATCCAATACCTTCGAATCTTCCTTCCTCTCCATCATAACTTCTCACTTGCTTATTCGGAACCACTACAAAAGACAAAGAAGGCAATTTCAAGTGTTATGACGGGCAACTACGAGACGGGCATTGCTGCCAAGCTCCAACGCTATAAATTATAATTGCTACTGTGGAGCAGGATAGGGTACAGTGTACGCTGAAAACACGACCAAGTTGCGAAAACGACTTGTATGCCATCTTGGCCTTCGCGTCTATGCTAGTCACTTATTTTTTATATCAAATCGCAAATTTTCCGGCTTTTAAAGTTACAAATAAATACTAAACCATACAATATACTACACTGCGCCACATTACCATATTACTATATACACACCACACTATTACATTATAATTTTATACATTTTGCTATGCTGTAATATACTATACTATACTATACTTTAATATACTAAACTATGCCCTTTGCAATAAATTACTTATATTATTACATTATAATTACTTTATTACTATATGCATTACTATATTATTGCATACCATGTTTTTATTTATATGCCATCTTCTTCTAACTGGTTGTTGCAATTTTTCCTAGCCTCATTTCTGCTTGGACAATTTTCTTTAACTTATACAATTCTTGATCTGGATTTGAGCAACTAAGTTCGGTTTTGTTTAAAAGTCAGCTTGAATTAACTCTCCACTTGTCCTCAAATACATCCGTTCCAGTAAGCTCTGAATAATCTACAAAGTGAGGCAATAGTTGTTTTGGTAAAATTCAATTTTTGCAGAGCATCCCAAGATGCTTTGTAGTCTTGACAAACACCGAGGGAACATATATCCTATAGACAAAATCAAATCGGAACAGATTGGAAGTAGTATGTCACCAATGGCCTCACTCTCTTGCAATAGGCTTATTTACTCTTGACTTAGTAGCCGTTGTACTCACTTTTGGCTCTTCCGCAAGATACGCCATCCTTCGGAATTGCGGATATTTTATTTATTGTCGTTCGAATGTGTCGATTTGTGACAATTGCTGGCAAAGCGAGGCGACCTGGGCTACAACAGTATCACTACTTATAGGATTAATGTAATCTGATATTTATTGCCAGAGTCCTCTTTAGATGTCTCGAATTTGAGCTGAGTTTGTAAATGTAACAGAACTTATCTATTTTCAACTTGTGCAATTCGGTATGTAGTATCAAGACCGATCCTTAACTTCACTTCTTCCAAAAAATGCAACCAGATTATCTGGTAAATCTGCTTTTAATATTTGATCACATTTATCCTCCATATTTTTTATCTCATAATGTCTTCTAATGCCTCGGAAACCCTCAGTCGTGGATAAGCTTAACTTGGACTTTTGCAGATAAACTGTTTTTGTCGGTTATTGGCATGCTTCTTCGCCTCCATAGCATAAAACCGCAATCACACACATAGGCACACGCGTACACACACACACATATAAACATCCATAAACCCACGCCTATTGTCATTTATAACTTGCAAAGCATTCATACCACACTCCGAACGTCTGGTAGCTTCCCCTTACGATCTGTGAGGTAAGGCCTCCTTACGGTAAACAATGTGGTGTCTCGGTGAAAAGAGGAGTTTTTAATGAACCATTTTTGCTCCTTTACCTGCCGTTAGGGATCCTATATTTCCAAACATTTGATGCTGTTTCTCTCAGCCTAAGACATAAAGGACACTCTGGAGATAGGCAAGTGGTGATAGCCTATCCTAAAATGTTCATCTCTAGCAAATCTACATGCGGACAATCATGGGCAACTAGGGTTTCTCTCATTCTCTCGGATTCATGCCATAACGTTCTCGTGCCACCGCTTTTTGTCAGCCCGACTTCAATCATGATGATTTTGGAAATAAGCACACACAAAATTCTCTTTGGCACAGGCTTCTTTGCATACATTTTACTCGTCGTCCGTCAGGATCATACGCATTTCTTATTGGAGTTATCTTGTGGATACAAAGAGAAACTGAGTTTAGATAATTCTCTTGAGATAACATTGTTAGGATCTCACCAAATAAAGATGTATAAATCTCGTTATACTGCCACCGTTTGGAGTGTTCTTACCTGAAAAGAGGGTTTTTTCAAGTTCTTCGAGGAATTCTCAGAATAGTACTACTCAACTGACGGATAATGTCTGGCTCGAGAAAGCGTGGGGTTGTGTTCTCATCGGGTCGCAGCTCAATTCAGATTTTCACTTTGACAGTTGACAGAGAAGTCATTTTCTCCGGCGGTCTTCATCCTGACAGGTTCAC